TGAGAAAAACATGGATTGCAAAATTTGAAAATGGTACATCTTGTAACATAATTTTTTACTGTCAATTTTAAAAATTTTCAAGTTTTCATAATGCTGCTCGATCCAAACTATTTTTGAAGCTTTGCATTTTATAATTAAAGATGAAAATATATTTTAAGGCTATCACGAAGATTTTCAGTATTGAAACCACATTTTTCGAAGCTATTTAAAGGTAAGCTCTAATTTGATTGATTTGAGCATCGGCTCTGTACAAGCTACACTCGTTTTATATTCATATAATTTATAAAAAAAATTAAAAATAAAATGCTCTGAAGCATTGACTCTAAATCAAACTGTAAATAGCTCACTTGATATAAGTTAAATGACTGGAAGGGAGAAGGATATATCTTTTATGTAGTAAGGGAAGTACATAAACTTTTCTCCACTTTATATCCCTTGCTAGTTGTATTGACATGGGGACTATATGTGTAATTTAGCCAAGCACAACCACCAAATGGTCAAACCAATGTTTGTTATACTACTAGCTTATATCAACATATAACTCCGACAGTCCAGATTCAATCTGGGCCGATCTGACGATCACGACTTTATTTTGTATTTTAATTTTAATTTTTTTTCTATTAATTCAAATCACTTGAAATTTTAGGTATCTATTCTTCAAAAAAAGGAGAACCTTATAAAAATATAAAAAAATAAATTATAATAAAAAATTGATCAAAATACCCCTGAAAGTTTTTGGGGGTATTTTAATCGATTTATTTTTTGCGAATTATTTTTTAAATATTTTTATTAGGTAGATATTGATGAGAAGAATTGATGCCTAAATTTCAAATTATTTGGATTCGCAAAAACAAAAGTAAAATAAAAATACGAAATGAAGTTGTGACCGTCATGTCGGCTCAGATTCAATCTGAGCCGTTGGACTCATATGTTGATATGAGCTAGTGGGCTAATATTTTCTATATATATATATATATATATATATATATATATATGTGTGTGTGTGTGTATATATATAATAAAAAGATAGTAATGCCAGCCAAACACATCATTTGGTGATTGGATTAAATAATACGGTCATTACATCATCCTTACTATTGTTGTGGGCTAATCATTTTCTATATATATATATATTTATATATATATAAAAAGATACTAATGCCGGCCAAACACATCATTTGGTGATTGGATTAAATAATACGGTCATTACATGCTATTGTTATTGTTGCCCAAATTTTGACTGACTTCATTCTTTATCATTCTTTGTGTTCTAAATTAAGTTATGTTCAATTCCAAAGTTCATTTGACCCAAACAAGTTCAACTGAAATGTTATTTAGCCTTCTAATTTTAAGATGGTCAAATTTAGGACCAAATTTGGTTATGGCCCAGAGTTGAATTTGTCTCTCTCTCCCTCTCTCTGTTGTTCATTCTCTTCAATATTGTAAGTTTATTAGTTCTTTTGGAAAATATTTAAATAGTCAAACCACCTTACAGAATGATCAAGTTCATGAATTATCATCAGGAGAATGTCATTTTAATGTGCCTTCTCAAAAAATATGCTAAGAATTATGCGAGAATCAGAAGAATAGTACAACGACCTCAATAAGGCAGTGGTTTAACAAACAATTTTATGAATAAAGTGGTTACTTTTTAAAGTCTTTTTCATTTAATTACCTTCTTAAGCATTTTGTTAAAATACCCAAATTATCATTGTCGTGGGTTCGTTACTCCAAAAAAGTGATGATATTCGAATAATTTGACCCATTTAAGTCACTTATTCCCCTTCGAGGTTCAAAACTTAGAACATATTCGTCTCATACAAAAAATCTTGGTTTGAACATGGACTCGAAACAAAGAGAAGTACTTTGATAATTTTGATCACTCAAAGTCACTGGGCCAAAAAGATGTAAATACTCCTATTTTTTCTAGATTCTAGAACTTTGAAACAATATTATAATAATAATTAAAAAAAAAAATAGAGCATGTTTTGAATTTAAAACTTGAAATGACTAGATGTATATAATTTATGGGCACTCTTGATATTTTTGGACAAAATAATTGACCAAGAATCTAAGTGAAGTAATGATTAAAAAAAACTACTTCGTTGGTAAATTAATTGATTTGAATGATCTTTTGGAGTGAATCAACAATTTTACTGATATTCTCTTTCTCAATTAGTCTGAAAGGTAAGATTTAGGATAATTTATTCAAATTTCGATGGGATATAATATGATTTTGAAATGCCTTTGAACTTTCTATGATACTACGTTTATTTCAAATAATCAATTAATTACTGTCCTAAGTAATTACTCTTACTCAAGGAGATTCAACGCAGTGTTTCAAAAATCGTAATTCGGATTTGGTCTGGACTGATGGTTGGTAATTTCGGTTTAAGGAACCCAGAATCACCTCAATTATCTCAATTTTACAGTTTTCTTTCTAGATTGACATTAGACCCAACAATTCATTATCTGATTCTGGTTTTTGAAACACTGTTTCAGAAAGCATCACGACATAAGAGAGACAATACTGGATTAGTTCAGAAAGATTATCATCACGACATAAGAGAGACACTACTGGATTAGTTCAGAAAGATTATCAGGTTGTAAGTCCACCTTTGCATGGTGCTTAGGGGGTGGGAAGTGAGAGAGGTGCAATCCCTATCATATTTTAGTTGGGATTGTCCAAAAAGATACCATTTATCTTTTATATATGGAGGTCATAATCATTCCTACTAATAAGATGTCAAATTGAATGGCTTGGGATGCGCAACAAAGTCTTAGAATTTTATTTTTAAAACTTTGTATTTATTCAATGACATTCTTACATCAACTCATTTTGAAATTTAAAGAACAAAAAATTGCGACACATAAAATAAATAGTTTCTTTATAGACAATCCCATTTTAGTCTTTTGATCCACCTTTAAAGAGGGAGAGATGTGGAACAAAAGGCTAACGTGTTTAAGAGAAAGAAGAGAGAGGTAGAGTAAGAAACTTGTATTGGTTTTTTAGGGGAGAGAGAGATGGAAAAATACGTGTGTGGTTTTGTTGAGCAACTTTTCACAAGTTTGTTGGCGTCTGTGAAGAAGAGCATTCCCATTACTTTTCTATAAATCAAAACCATTTAAGGGTGAGGTTTGTAGAACGTGTGAACTCTATACTATTGAAGTAAGATGTACCTCGAAGCTTTGCCGAAGTGTCGTAAAGTCGATATGAAAATATATTGTTGTCCCCAATTATGAAATTTAAAGTTTCAAAAATGGTGACGATCAAACAGATCTATAAATACTTGAAAATCTTGAAAATAAACGGTCCAGATAATGCATTAGAAGATGAACTATTTTTTTGACTAGAAGCCTCTTTTTTTTCATGTCTAGGTCAAGATGATCAGTTTGAGGGTTTTTCAGCATAGATACGATCTTTTCTAATGGGTTTTTTAGGTTCACCATACGCCACCTTATATGAATTTTTTCCTTTAACAATATCAAAGAAAAAAAAAAAAAGATTCGAAAAAAAAGAGAACGAAGTTTCTAATCCCAGTGATTCTACCCACAAAACAAAAATAAAAAGAGATTAAAAAGGCCAACACAATTAAGGAAGAAGGGAGGAAGGTAAAGCCTAGACGTCACAATAAAAAAACAAAGCCACACCTCAAAATTCTCAGAAAACGCACCATAGGGGTGGAAGAAAATCTTTAACCTAATCATCTTGACCTTGATAATTATACATTTGAAAAAAATTACATTTTAAAAACAATAAATCTTGTGACATTTATTGGAGCTTCAATAAAAGAAGTATATCATAGGAACTATTTATTTTTTATATGAGGAGGTCGTGATTATTACTCACCGCTAAATGTGAGATCATGTAAGGAATGGGTTGGGGGCATCAATGGTTACAGGGGTTGATGCTTCAACATAATGTTCCACCCTCCTATCTTACTATTAACATGAAAGAAAAATGCGAGATTAGGCGGTTAACATATACAGAAAACAGATGTAAGCTATCCATAAGATTTCACATTTCATGGCCAATTTTGATTGTGACCTCTTTGCACCAATGGCTAAGAGTTTTCACAAAGAGTATCGCATTTTTTGGGCAAGCTTTGAGCTACAAGTTTATTTTTTTATTATAAAACCGAGGCCTTGTGCTAATTATACCAATTAATTAACTTTTAAAAAAAGTTAAAAGTCCATAATAAAAAAATTTTGAATACATTTCAATCTATAAAATTCCACATCAAATAGCTAAGAACGATTGTGGCCTCTTTATACCAAATGAGAGTCCTTAGATCGAATATTGCATTTTATGGCGAGGTTGTGAGCTAGAACTTCACTGCTTATCCTAAAACCTAGGTCATGTGCCATTAATTAATCCTTGAAAAAAGTTAAAACCGAAATATGTTTTTAAGAAGACGACACTTAATCCTTTTGCACTAAAAATATGTTAATTAAACGTGTGGCTTGACAACTTTATTTGTAGAAACAAGACTATTATATACTGTTTATTTTATTTGGACAGTGAAAATTTGACATGCATTTTAAAACAATGTCAATACATGACATGTCTTTTAAGATAATATCTAATTTATATTGTTCAAATAAAATAAACAATATAGGTCACTGTAACTTTATTTCTACAAATAAAGTTTCAACCTTATATAACCTTTTATTGTTAATTAATTAATAAAAATTTTTCTATAAAGTTGACATCTTAACATGTAGAATTAATGTGTGTTTCTAAAATCTTTCGAAAAATGTTGTTTTGATGTTGAAAAAACATCTAATTAATCATCTCCACATTGAGATATATAAATATGGAGATAAAGATTTCGTTTAAAAATTTATAATTGTAAATAAAAATAGATTCACCCCAAGAATTCTGACATCAAAATTACGTCACAAAGTTTGGGGGTGCACCATAATTTGATGGTTTAAGGTTGGCAAACCGCTCCTATAAATTAATCATTCAAATTCCGGAGCAAATTTTTGTTTTTTCTTTCATGGCAAAATTACAACCTGAACCTGTTTTAAACCCTATTTACTGTCCATTGACACTGAAAGCAACTCGATTTTTTTACTAATTAAACTACAATTGGTCGTTTAAAAAACAATTTCTGGATAAAGAAATGGGTCGGGTGTGGATCCTTTGGGCTTGACTTCTCTTTCCTTTGAATTTTGTGGCAACAATGGCGGATTCTAGGTTGTCCAGGCGACCACGGGTTTTTTTGACCACCCCATATTCTATTTCTCATCATGCCCTTTACACACAGGAACCAGTCATAGGAGAAATTAGGGTTAGTACTTTCTGTAGGGTTTTATAAGCACTTGGTTTGGATTTTTTGTGATGGAACATGGATGCAATATCTCCAATGCGCTAGGGCTTATAAGCATTTAGTTTGATTCTGGTTCGTTTCAGCTCAATTTGAAGCTAAATGGTACGCTTTAATTCAGTGATTATTTAGTAAAATTAAATATTTATTTACTTGATTTTATTCTTGATTGTGCTTCATTTCAGTTCAAAATTTCTAAATGGATCAGGATTCCCATTTGTTCATATGCATCTGAATTTGATTTGAAAAACCTTTTTTAATGTCTTTATGTTAAATTAGTATTTAGATAAGTAAATTAAATATCATAAAAATTTTCCTTTTCTTTCTTGAAATTTATGGACTTCTAGTTTGTGGGCTAGAGTTTCAAAATTTGAGTACGTTACTACATTTTGTGCCAATTTGATTTTCTTAAACAAGTTTCATGTTCACATTTTTAGGGATATACATATCAGTTTTTATTTATTTATTTTAACTAAATTGTTCACAAGGTGGGTACCATGGGTACTTGAAGTGAGATTTCAAGCAATTTAAAAATTCAGGAGAAACTCTTTTTCAATTAGAAATATTTGAACCGCCTGAATACTCTTTTTCAATTAGAAATATTTGAACTGTTTAATAAAGAAGAAAAGATATGGGTTAAAATGCCATCATTAGCTATAATTCAGTAAATCTGCGATTCGGTATATGCGAAGGCCACATTATTTTTATGTGGTGATGATGTGCCCAAAATGATCATATTATAGATTCAAAACTAATAATAGACAACACTCAGAAATCAAAGAGTAGTTGTTGATTCAGGCTACTCAAATTTTTGCATAATGGTTCCTTATCATAATTGTCAGAAAAACAAAAAACAAAAACTTTCTCGTCTATATGCATATCACAGAGATTAAGAAATTGGAGCTAAATGTGTTGTTGAGCTCAAATTTCATAACAAACCCAATATATGTCATTCTTGAAATTATTGAATGTCGAAGCTCTTTTGGTTTTGGGGTCTCTTGCAATAGAAAAAAAATTGATGACTGCTTCTTTATTAGGCTTTGTGCGCATCAAGAAAAATTTTGGCGCTACTGTTAATTGGCGTTATCGTTCAATATCTTTCAGAAAAGAACTATCAGTTCAAATGTGTGTTGAATACGGCTGAAGTGTGTGAACCAATTAATATATCTGAAATTTGTACAACACAAGCATCGCAGAAGAAGCATCTCAAATTTGAATACTCACATGACCCACTTACCCATGAAATCTTTATTTATTTATTTCTCTTCTTTGGTAAATCCATCTTCCTACTTCCTTAGTGAAGGTGAACACATTGGAAGCTTGTTACAATCGACTGTCATTTTAAAACATTGTATATACAGTGTAAGAAAAGAATATGGGATGGAAGTCCATGGCTCACTTCCTTTCTGTTGTATTGAAACATTTGCCATTATGGAATCTTTTATAATCCTGTCACCTTGACTTGCCCATGTTTCAGTTATGGCATCCATCTCCCCCATTCCATTTATTGACAACCCTACTCTCTAGGGTAAAATCACTTAGAAATGTTTCTCCAGCCTACTGCATTAGCTGGGCGAAAGGGAGGTGGGAAGGGAAGAACATTCAGTACGCTGCCATGTATCATAATCCTCTTTCCTTGCTATAAGTTGCATTATATAGACCATGATATAATTATCGACTACTGTGAACCTAGGTCGGGTGGTTATTTCTTGATATGGTAATGTGAAACAGTTGCCTTGGTGTAATTCGTATGAGGCATTTTTCCATGAATGCTCATATTAGACTCTGTTACGTTGCTCTTTATTTAAGTAGTTACGATTCATCCCATTTTAGGCATCAATGTGTTTGAACGCATTTATATGTTCAAGGTTGGTCATTTGGTTTTGCTTGTGTCTTCATTTTTCATTTGGAAGTGATAACACCATGAAAATGTGAATTATATTTGTCAGGAAGCATTTAATAATGGGGATGATACCTTTATGCTTGGATTTGTTTGAATCTAGAAGTTAAAATGGAAGTTATCATTGGTTGTATTGTCATCAGATGATTGTTAGAAAGTTATGTCAGCGATGGAACTCAATGTCCTTTTACAGGTGCCAAATACGCCCTTCCAGTGCAAAGCTTTTTAGACAATAAGTTCGTTGACAACAATGCAACTTTGCTGCCTTAATTTGCGGAGAAGGCAGAAAGCTAGTGACACACTACAAGCCAAAGGTAAGGAGTCTCGTTACATCAACTTAGTTTCTTGTCCATTTATTTCTTAAAAATGATGGTACTTGTTATGAAGCAAAGGTTCTTCACTTGTAACTTTATGGAGGAAAGTTTGCTATGTTCCAGTGGACTATAGAAAACCATAGTCCACTGGGATCATCACTGTGTAATGAAATGATCTACAGTATGGAGAGAGTGGGACCTACATTGGTGGATCATGCCATATTCTGGTAGATCCCACTGGATTGTGTATCCTTAACAATGTGATGATGACCCTAATTGGATTGTGTTATGCTATCCATTGTATTATGCCTTGCCCTTTATTCATTGGGATTCACATCTGAACAAGCAGAATCCCCAAATTTTCTATTAATCAAAGCGTTAATATAAGATGCCCAAAATGGTTATCTTAGTTCATCATTTCTCAAAAACAAATATACTACTCTCATTTGTCTTATCATAATACCCTTTTTCGACTTTATTACTTTATTGGGTAGCCTATGTTTGCATTCTATCAAAAAGGGCACATGCTTCTTACCAAAGGTACTTTGGTAGAAAGATTCCTAGCCAAATAAATTTATTTAATATATTCAACTATAACTCTAATAAGCCTTAATGAGAAAATAAGATAAAGCTTATGTTGAAAGTTTTGTATCTCATGTTGCTCTAACATTCTTTCAATTTCTGATGAATTGTTATTGTTCTAAGTTTTGCTCCCTGTACTGGGAAAAATTTACTCAGAACTACTATGTATTATCAGGAGATATGCCTTGGTTTGTTTGAGTTCTTCCTTTTTTTGTGGCACTATTTCATTTGCATGCTGACCCTCTTTTTGTTGCGTCTATTGTTGTTGGTTAGAGTTTTCTGCAAAGAGGAACATCAATCTCTTTTCCTACAAACAGTTAAGGTCTGCCACAAGGAACTTTCATCCTGAGAACAGGATTGGTAGGGGTGGCTTTGGAGTTGTCTACAAGGTAATTATTAGTTGCAGTCATGGATATCTTTTTTTTTTATTTTTTTATAGACTTTTATAACTAAAATAGTTGTTGGAAGCATTTGGAACTCGCATACTGTTATTGTGCATACTTACAATAAATGGGATGCCTCTCCATGAAGTATTAATTTGTCTGTTTAACTAAATGCCTTTGAATTTTTTCTTTTTTCTTTTCCTGTTATACCTGCGGATGACAAACGATATTAAGTGTACCCAATGAGGTCTGTAGACAACTTTGAATGTGGTTATTTTCTCATCTTTAAGTAAATCCATCCCTCAATTTTAAAAAGAGAGAGTGATGTATTGAATGATGCTAGTTTCAAGCAAGGGTGCCATCTTCCCGTGATTTATATTTGTATCAGATGTTTGATGTATTCTCTGATTCCTACCCACCGTATTGATCCAACCATATCATCATTGCCCTTAAATACAGGGAATCCTACGTGATGAAACCCAAGTTGCCGTAAAGTTACTTTCTGCTGAATCAGCACAAGGACTAGATGAATTCCTAACAGAGATTGACACGATCTCAAATGTTACACATCCCAATCTTGTTAAGTTGATTGGGTGTTGTATTGAAGAGGACAGCCGCATGTTGGTTTATGAGTATCTGGAGAACAACAGCCTTGCTTATGCTTTACTCGGTAATACTTCGTAATACTAATACCTACAGTTTTTGTGCATTTTTTTTTTTTTGGACTTATACAGTTTTTATGTGCATTGACTATGAAAAGTTGAAGGAAAAAAAAGTGAGAATTTTCTTAAAGATAACAATTGTGGAAGTTATCAGAAATCATCAAATCAAATGCATAGATAGCTATTAGTTATTATTGATCGAGTTGGGTTGAAGATCATATCTCAATTGGATTCTTGGAAGGCCCTCTTCGCAACCATGTGGTTGTAGTTCAAACCCAACTTACCTACCAAAGAAAAAAGAAAATATTTTTTATTGGTAAAAGAAAAGGAAGAAAAAGAAAAAAAACGAAAAGGAAAAAGGAAATGTTTTAATCAAAATAGACACTGGAAATTTGAAATGGTATTGCACCTTGCAGGATCAAAGGGTAAAAGGATTGACTTGGACTGGAGTAAAAGGGTTGCAATATGTCTGGGCACTGCTCATGGTCTTGCATTTCTTCATGAGGAACTTGAGCCACATATTGTACACAGAGACATCAAGGCGAGTAACATTCTTCTTGCTAAAGACCTTGTTCCTAAAATTGGAGACTTTGGTTTGGCGAAACTTTTCCCGGATAATGTTACTCACCTTAGTACGCGAGTAGCAGGAACAATGTAAGCATGCTTTTCCGTTGCTCAGTCGTTTATATTTGTGGGATATTAAATAGAATTCCTCAATCCCTAACAGTATTTTTCACCATTTCAATATGGAAAACTTACTGTGACTGTTGAAGATTCCACCTGTTTTCCTTGTGCTTCAACCAAGCTAAATAGATTGTATCTCAAGATTGTCTTGGAATTATAAATAAATGGTTTATTTCAAAGTATGGGATAGTCTGCTACACTTAAATCTTATTGTTGAATGAGTTCATCCTTAAGTATTTTATACAGTGTATGCTGTCATTGAATTAACTTGTAATTCTACACTGAACATCGTGGGTATTATAGATATAGTACGCAGTTATGCATATCTTGCAGACTTTCTGTATAGATTCTTTTACATTATCCAAATAGTGAGGCTCTATGAAGAAATATGTTATGTTTCAGTCATATACTTTCTAAATCATAGCACTTCTATCATGTATTTCATAATTGGTGAAGAGGAACTGCTCCTTCCACTTAATGGACATTGATAGATTTGAGGTAGAGCACTTTTGGTCACTGAGGAGGGATAGTGGAGATGAGCCTATTGTATTCCACTTATTATACACAATGTAGAAATGCATGTAGAATATTTTTCCATTGACAAAATGGTGCTTGGTGTGATCTTTCTATTGACAAAAAGTAACTAGAGACTGCTCTGTGGAATCTGGCCGTTTGTATTCCATTAATAGGATCCACTTAAACTTCGTTATGAAAGTCACCGTATACGAAAGTATTTTTCTCTTAAGATGAAACAAGGGTCCTTTATTTTGAAATCTGGTGTCACCCATCAAGGATGCAGATGAAAGCATTATGATGATTCGTCAATGCACTAAAATTTATGAATAGAAGGGCATTATTTTATTTTATTTTTTCCTTCTTCTCTCTCAGTTGTTTTATATCATTTTTTTGGGTAGGTTAGCATGGGATTTGCAATCCAAAACCTTGGGGTCATGTCAAAAAGCTCCATGCCATTAGGCTGGGGTGTTCAATCCAGGGGTATTCAATCCTCTAAAATTGAATTACATGAGAAGCGGCTTTGCAATATTTTAGTTTGAGATTTGAACCCTTCAAAATATTGAATTGGATACAAGAATTTGCATTTTAGTTTCTAATTTTACTACTTTTTCTTGCAGTGGATATTTGGCTCCGGAGTATGCATTGCTTGGCCAGTTAACAAAAAAAGCAGATATTTACAGCTTTGGCATTCTCATTCTTGAAATAGTTAGTGGCAGAAGTAGTTCCAATACAGCATGGGCAGCAGATAAATATGGTCTTCTAGAATGGGTAAGGCTCTGTGATGTGATGATTCAGTGACTGAATTCCAAATTTTGATATCAATTTTGAACTAAAACGATTAGAATCATTTAGGAGGGCCCAGGTGATGAATTTAGCTTGTATTTGATGTTATATTGTTATAATCAGTAGTTATATTTTCACTTTGTGGAATGAATTAGACCGCCCATTTTTGTCTACTAGTCCTGGATTTTGCGAATATTATTGAAACATCATAATGACCATATCATCAGAGTATATGCTCCTTAATTTTGTCTCATTTATTCACTGAAAAGACAATGGTTGAAACTCATGTAGAGGCTTGAAAAACATTTCTGCTGCACTTAGCCTGCTATATGCTGATTTTTTCAAAAACATGAAAATCTTGCTGAGTTATTGAATGAAATAGCAAAAAACAGGTGTAATGCATCCCTTTTTTGCTTGGTTACTGCATATGCTCTACGAGGTCACCGCTACTGGTCTTGTAGAAGCAACTTGAGTACTTGCATGTTTTCTTCCTCCCGCAACTTGGTTTTTCCCCTTGTGCATGTGGCTCTTTGCGAGTTTAACCAATCTTCTAATTGAACCACCATATATTCCTGCATTTATAAGAATAGAAAACAGAAAAGAAAGAAAGAGAAGCACTTGGGTTTCAATGTGAGAATCTGTGATCATTGACTGACCAATGACCATGTCATGAAACAGATATGGGAAATGAGGGAAGAAGGGAGGCTATTGGAGGTGGTGGACAATGACCTACAAGAATTCCCAGAAGAACAAGCATTACGCTTCATCATCATCGCACTCTTCTGCACCCAAGCTGCATCAAACCAGAGGCCCAACATGACTCAAGTGGTGGCCATGCTATCTACAAAGACCCCCCTTAATGAGAAATCGCTGACATGCCCAGGTATCCTTAAAAACACTGATAAACTTTATAAGGCATCAGGTGCCTCTACTTCGAAGACCTCAACCCAAAAAGGTAAACAGTCGGCTCGAACCTCGACATCAACTACTATAAGTAACTTTGACACTTCTCATGTGAGCATGACACAGTTGCAACCAAGATAACCAGTTTTAAAGAATTGAGGGAAGGTATTCCATGATCCAATGAAGTATGGTATTGGGTTCTCCAAAGGGACAGTAACTATCTATTCTTGATGATGTGGTGGAGATTTCTTCATAGTGGGGCCACTGTGTTGCATACTCCAGAGGGACATTATGGTCTACTTTTCTTAAGTAGGCTGTTTTGATTTGCTAAGATTATTCACAAGATTGGGCCGTGGTTCTCAGCCACTGGTGTTTTTCAGATGACTCCCATTTGTTTTGCGAAGCAAATATCATTGGGCGAACTTACAATGGCTTTCTATACACATATATTTTGTATGTTTCTGAATATTGATAGTCATCCAAGCTTTGATTGGATGGTTGACAGTGAGCCGACAACAATATTATTACATTAATTACAGCCTGACAAGAATGGTTGGCCTCTAATTTGTGATGTTGTTGTGCTGCCAGCCATCTTATTAAAATGGGATGGCTATTCGTCCAGGTTTCCTAATATCACTTTCTGTTTGGGGTGGTTGGGGGAAAGCTCACGTTTCATATCTATAAGCTTACTGCAATTATGTAAGTGATTTATTATTCTTTTAATACAATTGTTTCTTTTTAGTTTTGTTTTTCTAATAGAGATGCTATAATGCGGCTACGTATCAAAGTTGCAAAAGTGAACAAAAAGCAAAATATACTCAAATAATGCTCTGTCCCCAACTTGGAGGAAACCCAAATTGCATACCCCTTGAATTCTCCTCAAATTAAAGTTTTTTAATTTAATTATATATTACAAAAAAAAGGGAAAATTATTACTTCGATGTTCAAACCACTTCAGGTGGTCTACGTATCCCATTTAATATTAGATTGTTTTTTTTTTTTTCTAGTTGTTTTGGGGCAATTAGGAGATTCTCTGGAAGAAATACAGGATTGTGAATCTGGCGGCAGCATGCTTTTGGGCGACCCGTTTGGAGTCAAATCAATACGTTCTAAGAAGAAAGATTTGAATTACTAGAATATCGAACCATGAACGAAGAAAGGCACGAGAGAAAAACATATTGGCTAGTGATTGTTGATTGTGAGACCCCAATTCTGAATTGTAAGGGACACCAAAGGGAATCTCCCTCTGCCCTCCCATCCCTTGGATATTAGATTGGGTATCTTTCGAGTTTATTGCATTCAAGTACCTCCACAAAAAAATAAAATAGTATTTTTATCAACTGATAAAAGTTCTTTTCCTTATTGTGATGACAACTTCTACAATTTTTTATTTAAGAAGGAATAAATGTGCATTTAACTTAAGTCATGTTAATATATATGACTTTGGGAAGAAATAAATTAAGAAATAAACCAACATGTTTCTCTCACCTCACGCAACCTACTTGTAGGACATAAAAGCAAATGAGAGAACTCGAAGCATTAGAGAGAAAAGTAGAAAGTTTCTAAGACACAATTTTCAATTGAGAGGAAGGAGTGAGTTCAAAGCTTCCTAGACATATACATGCCGGTTACTTTTAAAAAAATTGTGGCCAATGCTATATGGATACTGATATGTATTAAGTGTTTGATAGGTAAGAAAATCTCAACATGGGTTTTTCAATCACATTATATCAATACACCATGTAAAGAAACGGAATTTAGCTGACCTTAAGCATTTTTAAGAGTTTAGATATGGTTTTAGAAGAAATATTGAAGGAAAAAGTTTATATAAGGTATTAACCTTATACTAAACAAGTACGGTGCACTTTAAAAATCCACTTGAAAAGGTTTTTTTTTGTTATCTAAATCATCTCAAACTCAAGATATATGTATGTGGAAAAAAAAAAGTTTCCAGTTCTAAAAAGCAATGTATCTTGTAGTACAGTATCTAGATCATCTATAAAGTGTCAACCTTATACTATACAAGTAAGGTGCACAATAAAAATTTACTTGAAAAGGATGTTTTGTTATCAAAATCATCTCAACCTCGAGATATATGGATGGGAAAGAAAAAATAGATTTCAAGTTCTAAAAACAATACATCTTATAGCATATTATCTAAACCGTCTAGCTTGTTGATTTGCTTGATTTGTGCGATTTTTGGAGTTTCGAATTTCATAATTAGGGGTGAAATGTGATCAGAACAACCTTTTAGGGTATAGTTTTGAGGTACACTTTAATTCTACATTATAAAGTGGACACATTTACATATGGAAAAAGTTTATATAGAGCATAACCTCTAAACAATCAAATTAGAGCCCACCTCAAAAGTTTTACTAGAAGAGGTTGTTTTTGATGTCCAAATATCTTCCGATTGATCATCTCGACATCAAGATGCGTGGTCATGCGAAAAAAACTGGATTTTAAGTTTTGGAAATAGTGCATCTTGTAATGCATATTTGGACCATCAATTTTTAAGATTTTCAAGCTTTCATAGATCTCTCGATCTATACTATTTTTTAAGCTTTAAATTTTATAATTAAAGATGAAAATATATTTTAAGGCTATCACAAAGGTTTTCAGTATTAAAACCATATTTCTCGATACTATTTGAAGGTGCGCTTTACTTTGATTGTTTGAAGTCTCTGCCCTACAAAAACTCCACCCTTTACATATTGCACCCTATATTGAAAACTACCTAGATAGTGACTAATAAAAAATTCTAAATTTTAAATGAAAATAATAGTAGCAGCTGAGTAATTTTGTTGTGGTAAATGAGATTCTAAATGCTGTTATGGTGGTTGGTTGGGATTCTACCAAACGTAAGTTGCAAAAGAATATAATTTGTTCATCGTAAAGTTAGGAGAATAACCTTACATAAGATTATCCACTGTTTAAAGAAATGAAAGGAGAGTGATGAACTAGATTAGACTTAGGAAAAGAGCCTTGGAGTTAGGCCATAATCTTTTATTACCTTTCTAAATTTGTAATCATTCAGATTTTTCTTAAGTAAATTCCTTTTGTTTTTTTCTTGAATCTAACCCCATGTTCTTTTGTTGGTGGAAAATGGGAAAAAGCTCTTACTTAATTTAAAAGGATGAAATTTCTATAAGGATTTCGCTTTATGAAAATAAAATAAAGCTTCACCTCAAATCCTCACCCGGAAAGCACTCTCAGCAACAGATCTCTATGATGGCTTTAAAATTAATTTTTAACACGATAATAAAATTTGAAACTCAATAAATTGTACAGATCTTGAAGATTTATGAACACTCATTTTTAGTTCGAAATAAATAATCTAGTTAATTTGTTACAATCTCTCTTATTTTTAGAGCTTAAAATCTTAATTTTGTTTCTCACATTCATAAGTTTTGAGCTGAGATGATTGATACAAAGGCCTTCCAATGCTTGAGTTGCAGTTTTTTTTATGAGTTATGAGCTGAGGGTTACTTATTTTGATAGGGCTGCAGCCCTACCAAAGCATTTTCTAGTTTAAAATGGATAGCATCAACAAACAAAAGTCTCATTGAAGAATTTTCTTTGAAAATAATCATCCAGTTATAATTAAATGGATCCCGAATTCCACCGATCCCAACCATAAACTGCTGATCCAAACTACATTTCCAAATGGCCAATTGATCCTGCCGATCTAGATTCTCAAACCTGGTATTGTCCATCATAAAATAATTACAAATAGACTTATATATTCATATTAATTTACTAAAAATCACTGCTTTTACACAAAAATAGCTGAAAATTGTCAAAAAAAAAAAAACTTCATTAATTATAGAAAAATTGTCGCTAATATACTTTAATTATAAGAAAATCGCAAAAAAAAAAGCCCAACTTCCTAAAACAACGCCCATACCCTTTTTCCCAATTTTTGACATTTTTTGGATGAAAATACCTTTTGTGGTAGTCTTTCTACCGTAATGCATTGCGATCATTACGGTAATTAAAATACCGTTATAAATAGAGATAGAATTACCGTACTTCTAGTACCATAATAATGTGAACATCTATTACGGTACTTTGTAATTAAAATACCGTTGTAGATAGATATAGAATTACGGTACTCGTTAATTAAAATATTATTGCAAATAGAGATAGAATTATGATACTTCTAGTACCTTACGGTACTTTAATTACCGTAATAACATTGAGTATTACGGTTTATTACGGTAATTAAAATACCATAATACCGTAAAGTAATAATTGCTGTAAAATTGCCCAACTCAAAACAAAAGATTTTCCACTCCCTTGAGTCTACTATCTATTTACTCCCTCGACAAAAATCCATACTAGCTGTATTTTTCAAATCTCAAATTTTTAAAATATAATCTTAATTTTTATATGGTTCTCAAAATTTTAAAACAAAAACACTCTTAAATAAGTGTTTTTGAGCGAGGGAGTAGATCTACATCGTGCTTCCACGGGAACATGGATTTTTTTAAAAGGAGAGAGTGTTAGCTCTAATATTACCTTTGGTTTGAAGCAGTGTTTCAAAAATTGCCAATCCGATCCGGAATTAGGCGATCCGGATCGGGTATCGGTTATAACCGATCCAAATGCAATATCGTTAAAACTGGGCGGTTCCTACTTTTTTATTTTTTAATCCGGTTTTCTTTTTATGAACCCACCCTAGTTTTTTTGAAATGTGATTTATGCCAACTGACACTCTACTATATTCCCCCCACGTGATTGACAAATTTTTATTCCCCTAACGTGATTGACAAATTTTTACTCCCCCCACATTTTTGCCAGCTGCTCCCCACTTTACTCCCCCACATTTTTGCCAACAAATTTTTAAATGTGATTGACAAATTTTTCCCCCCACATTTTTGCCAACTGCTCCCCACTTTACTCCGCCCACATTTTTGCCAACAAATTTTTAAACGCGATTGACAAATTTTTATGCCCCCCACTTGATTGACAAATTTTTACTCCCCCCATGTGATTGACAAATTTTTACTCCCCCCACGTGATTGACAAATTTTTGCCGGCTGCTCCCCACTTTACTCCCCCCACATGGCAAAGACAACATACAACAAATCAGCTCGTTGAGTTTTTTTATAGTATTCACTCTTCTCACATCGCTTCGATGTGGGATATATCTGTGAGTTGAAAAAACGCTGGCAAATATTATTAGCTTGGGAGAAATTGCAGTGAGATAGTGTACGCGCGATGATGTACACATGACGGTGTATGCCCGTCAAGAATAAAAAAGTTGTATGTCTGATTGTGGCAATAAAATTTGATGATAAAAAAAGAAAAAATTTATTAAAAATAATAATTAGGTGCCCATCACCCCTATCTTTCACCAAAAAAATATAAATTTACTTACCAAAAAAACATAAAAACTCTATTAAGCTACTATATCATGGTATTATTTCATTATATGAGTAATAATTAATTAATTAGTTAATTAGGATTAAAAAATTAGTACTAGCTCATAGGATAAAAAAAAAAAAAGTAATACAACAAGCGAAAAAAAATGTAGTCTAACATCTTTTCCTTTTGTCAAAAAAAAAAAAAAGATAATCAACAAGCATCATATTTTTCTTGTTAAAAAAAAATAAAAAATAACACAATAGGTATTTCTTGTCAAAAAAATAAAAGGTATTTCTTAATACAACCTAAGAATAAATGGTCTGATTATATTTTTTATTTTTATAACATGATGGTCTTTAACATAAATTTAGTAATATTAATTTAAAGATAGGATTCATATAATGAGGCCATTTGAAATCTCTCTCTTTCTACTAACAATCTCTTCCACTAATTTATTCTAGAAACCTAAAAAATTAAAGAAAATTGGTACGCATTCTAATAATTTCTACATTGATAACCGAATCTTTTATTTTATTTATTAATTTTTGTATTATAAATCATGTAGTGTAC